ATAAGCATAGGCATATATGATTCCTTTCCACGAATTGATCCTCCATATGCTAATTCAAGTGAGTTCCAAATTTCTTTAGCCGTTTTACAAAAGATAATTTTGTTGAACTCATTTTTGCTTAATGCACAATAAAGATAACATGTGGCTAAAGTAGTACATTGAACTAATCTATGATCATTTTCATCCCATTCACTTTTTGATTTAGGATTTTCATTCCCTTCAATAACTTTGGTTGGGATATGATCACCAATTTCAATAACTTTCCATAAATCAATATCAATACTTTTTAGAAAGGCTTTCATTCTAATTTTCCAATAGATATAATCATTTCCATCAAAACAAGGAGGTTGATCATTGGATTGTCCTTTTAAGTGTGTGATACTACCATTGTTGGCCATGATCGTACTCTAAGACGATTAAGTCCTTTAAATAGAGTTGGGCTCTGATACCAATTGTTACTCAAGAATTGACTCTAGAGGGGGGGTGAATAGAGTCAATGGCCAATTTTCGTAATTTATAGAAATACAATTTCTAATTAACAATATAACCTATTGTGCAATAATCAACATATGAAATCAAGATATGAAAGTAAACAATTTATAGCACAATTATAAAAGAGATAAGGGAAGAGAAATTGCAAACTATAATACGACGATTTTTGCGAGGTTCGGAAAACTCCTACTCTTCGGTTCAAGATCCCTCTTGAGACTTCCCAATCCAATATAGTTTCTCCTTACGGGTGGAGAGCAAATATTGATTTGAAGTAACTCCTTGCTAAGAGAAAACCTCTCTTAGTCTTCCTTTGGGTCACACCAACCCTTACAATATCCTTGCTAAGAGACCACCTCTCTTAGTTTTACATAAGCCACACCAGCCCTTACAATTTCTTTGCTAAGGGAAACTCTTCCTCTTAGTCTTACAGCAGATTTGTAGAAAGAATTTGTAGTACAAGAAATCCTCTCAAGAACTGATACAAATCAAACCTCACAATAGAGTATATATGAAGTCAAGTGAAGCTCAAACTCTAAGTATGAAATGTATGAGAGATGATGAGGAAAAAATGCAGAACAAAAGCTCTGTATAATGGTAGAGCAAAAAGCTCTCTTGGATGCACTTGAATGAATGTTCTTGAATGCTCTCTCAAGTAGTATAATAGAGCAGAAACTCTATGAAGATTAAAACAAGAGCAAAAGCCCTTTTGATCTTTTACTAGAATCTCTCAGAAATAGAATAAGCGTGAAATGAGAGAGAAGAAGAGAAGATGAGAACAAAAGCTCTCTTGCAATGTAATGTCTCTTAAAATGGTAAATGCATTCAGCATGCTAGCCCTCTGTATTTATAGAATTTTGAGACTCAATATAACTGTTACAGGTTGGGATCAATTAATGAAAATATTTCCGTTGCAGTTCAAAACCCTAGAAGGCGCCTGCTATGTAAACAAGAGAGCCTGCTCTTTGTTCATTTTCTTTAGAAAGAGCCTGCTCTTGTAAAAATGTGAGCCTGCTCTTTGTTCATTTTCATTAGAAAGAGCCTGCTCTTGTAAAAACTTGAGCCTACTCTTTATTTTGAAGATGCATTTTTCGTAGCTTACTTGGAACAAAAAAGAGCCCTCTCTTTCTTTTAATTGAGTCTTCTCTTTTTAATTGAGCCCTCTCAAATACTGAAGTTGTGGAAAAGAGCCTTCTCTTTCTTTGAATTGAGCCCTCTCTTTTCTTTGAGCCTTCTCTAATTTTTCGTTAAAAAGCCTACTGGAATTGAAAGAGCCTTCTCTTTTATTTCATGGAGCCTTCTCCATTTCATTGAGCCTTTCTCTAATTTTTCATGGAGCCTTCTCTATTCTTTGAGCCTTCTCTAATTCCCATTGAGCCTTCTCTAAATTTCATTGAGCAGGCTCTATTAGCCTTGAGAGAGCTGGCTCTATTTCTTATAGAGGTGGCTCTTGCTTCATGAAGGCTGCTGCTAAATTAGATTGGACAGAAAAAGTGCATAACTTCAAATGGACATAACTCAGTCCATGAAACTCCAAATGAGGTGAAATTTGAGTCTGAATTTATTGCCTTGAAGTCAGCTTTCTAATGCCACTAGACTTGCTCAAAAATTCTAAACACAGAAATGGTTATGGCCATTTTAGTGAAACCTAGTCAGAATTTTCGCAGAGCAGAATCAGTCATCTTGTGATGGTTATATCTCTCTCAATTCAAATCCTTTTTAGGTGAAATTTGAGTCTAAACTCAAGAGCTCGAAGTCAGCTTTCTAATTCCACTGGCCTTATGTAAAAATTCCAACTACACAAATAGTTATAGCATTTTGAGTGCAAGCTGGTCTGGAAATTTTCTAGGCTGAAAATTGCTTCTTTTGAGATATTCATTTTTCTAGCACCTAGGACTTTGATGAATGATTCAATTTAGTTCAAGGCCTGTTTCTAGGAGTCTAGGGACATATGAGGATGTTAAATTTCAAGTGCATTGTGTCCTAGAGTCATTTACCAAATTATGGCAATAAAGGCTTTAAAGATGAAATATAAAATTCAATGCCTTTTCCTTTTCTTTCTAGAGACCAAAATAAGTATTGTGATTAATGTGCATGGTCCTAGCATTTCTAGCTTAAGTTGAGTTCTTTCAAAGCTTATGTAAGCTTGAACTAACTCATTCTTAGCAAAGACTTCATATGTTAAATATATGTGTATTGAAGTTCAAAGTCTATTGCTAATGATGTAGGAGCATATGATGTATGATATGCATGGTCCTATAGAGATGAGCTTCAAATGAATTCAAGAATACTTTGACATTAAATCTTAAGCTCTCACCATCTTATCTACCCCTTTTCTTCATTTTTGACCATGATCGTTTAGGCTTGATGAAGACTTGCTTTCTTTCTTTGAAATGCTTTGTGTGATCTTTGAAGTCCGAACTTTTCTTCAATTTCTTGCAACTTTGAGGCTCCCTTGAATCCATAGCTTGAGTATTTGTAATGCTTGGAATGGATCTTGTAGCTCAGCATTGAGGATTGAATATTGATCAACTATATATCACTCAATGAAAACATTAGTACTTAAACATCATTAATGGTTTGTAATCATCAAAACATAAGATTGACCTTTAAATAAAATCCTTAGGCCAACACATAGTGCTCCCATCTCTCACAAGGATTAAAACCCATGACCTTTAGATAGAGCCACATTATCTTCTTTGCAACTTCAAGTCTCAGAGAACCCATTCTCTCTCTCTCTCTCTCTCTCACACACACACACACACAGTGGCATAGTGACTTTAATTCAAAACCCACTGATCACTTCTTCATAAAGATGAAGAAACAGGGGAAGATAGAATAAAGGGTCAAAAGGACAAAAACAAGCCAACTATCAATGTCAATAGACATGAGAAGATGGGCGCTTTCAAATCAAATCACTGTTACAACCAATAACAATAGAAGGTTGTGGTGAAAAGAATCTGCATTACTTCTCCTTCACACTTTTATTAATATATATATCTAATTTAGTCAATAGGTTTTTTTTTTAGTTCATTGTTTATTTGTTTACTAACTTTTCCCACTTGTTTAACTGACAATGATGAAATGTGGGAGCATTAGTTTATGGGAAATGATGGGAAGGTCTTTGGCTTATTTTGAGAAACATTACAACCATGTTAAGTTATTTATAATGAACAATCATGACTCTCAATGGAAACTTACATTTCATACAATGGAAAATTTATTCTAACATATTAAATTGGAAGTGTAAAACCTCCCTTTCTTATTATACAGAATATCCCAAATATATTGTAGTATTTATCACGAATAAAACACTGCATTACAGAAATACAATGGAAATTTTATTCTAACATCGTAAATTGGAAGTTTAAAACATAACTTATAATACAGAATATCAACTTTTACACAATTTAATAATATAATTTTCACAATTTTTTATTCAATTTTTCACAATTTAATAATAGTTTAAAAATAACCAAACAAAACTAATGAAACACAATGTCATCCGATTCACAAATTCACTTACAAAAACAATACGCTGTAGCTTCGTCTTCTTCGGCCTTAAATCAACCGCACGACACTGCAGCTTCCTTTTCCCGTCGTTCAATCAAACATTTCCAAAGAAATTGCAATTTTGGAAAGAACAAAATTAAGAAAAGGTGGGACAATGTAGGAAAAACCAATTTATTTCTTTCTATATTTTGGGAGAGAAGAAGAAAGAGGATTAAGAACAGGCGCTATACCTTCGTCATTGTAGCTTCCTCTTCTCCGACGTCAATCAACCCTTTGGAATTGTAAATTTGGAAAGAAGGAAGAAAAATCGGGAAAGAAAAAGAAGAAAGAAAATTAGAAATTTAGAAGAGGCTATTCGTCATTGTAGATTCCTCTTCTCCGACTTTTAATCAAACCTTTGGAAAGAAATTGTAAATTTGGAAAGAAGGAAGAAAAATTGGGAGAGAAGAAGAAGAAAGAAGATTAGAAGAAGAGACGCTAAATCTGTTTTTGAATTTTCAATTTGCCACTTAAACCTGAGTTTCAGTAGGTATAATTTTGTGTATGTATATATAATTTCGTCTGTGTGTATGGTTCGTATATGTATCCGTGTATATGTATCCGCGTGTGTATACTTTTTTCACCCAAGGTCCTGTTTGGCCCTTTTTACCACCACTACATGCCTGAACAGTGCGAATAGGAGGAATAGATTCTCCGTTCCACGGGAGAGGATTCTGGTCCGGTTTGAGAGCAAGTTACTTTCTCAATGGCACTTAAATAAATAAGGACGTGTGGCCAAATATAGGGCAAGTAATATGCACCGCATGCGACCGCAGGGCAAAATGACTTGAAGAGGATTCCGGCCCGCCATGTCCAACACCCGATTCTGATTCTAATTTTGTAAAAATCATTGGAAACAATTCAGTTCGACTTGGTCAGAAACCGCACTGAACCCGTCAGTGCGCGCGCTAATATCCAATCAAAATAACTCTTTCATACTAGATGTAATATTCAATTAAGGGATTTTGATAATCAGGGAATGAGTTAGGGTATGGGAGTGAACCTGGATATTGGGTATGACGAAGGGGACGATTCACCGCTGTTGTTTTGGTTCGAGAAATTTGGAGGTACGTTACGCAATTAACAACATTTGGGTATTATTTTATTTGCGTTGATTTCACATATTCTTTGATTTTTATGCTTCTTGTTTGATCACTTTCTTATTTTTGTTGTTGGTAAATTGTTAAAGGGTAGTGAGCTATTGATCCAGCTGAGCTTAATTGTTATGTATAGTATTACTGAAAATATACAAAGTGAAAATTAAGCTGAGAGAGAGGAGAGCTTGAATCGACATCGTTTTTCCCCTCCGCCTCTTGCCTCCTAAAGAAACTAAGGACTTGCTTGGTTTGTCACTTCTCTAGAACTCTGAAAATAGAAAATTGTTTTTATAAAAGACCATTTCTTTTCTCCGAAAATATGCTTTTTTGAAGAGTTTCCATAAAGATGTTCTCAAAAACCGTTAATCAATTTTGTACAATTTTTTAGTTTTTAGTTCTCATAAAATAGAAAACTGAACCAAATCAAGCAAACCCCTAATTTTTCACTTTCTACTAGTGCTTTTATTGGTCTCTGTGTATGTGCCCAAACCACCCATGTCTACTTTCTCTTCTAGTCACTCCAACCATCCATGCCAGCATTCTCATTTTTGCAACATCAATGAGTTGTTCTTGTTTCTTTTTCAAAGCCCAAAATTCCAATGAGTAGTTCTTGTTTCTTTTATAAAGCCCAGAATTTCGCTTCATATAGCATAGTTGGTCTAATAACGGTCCTATAAATTTTTTCTTTTCTCATGTGTTATTATTATTATTATTTTTATCACAAAAGATGCCACTAACTTGTCTCTATTTTGTCCATCCGAATCCAATTCTACTAATTTTATCACTATCCTTTTGTATTATCGACCCTAAGTAGCAAAAGTGATTATTTCTGTAATCAATATATCAAGAATCGAGTCCTTATTAAAATTTCACTCCATGTATCCTTGCCTCAACTATTTGAAGTTATTGCGCAAATCCAGTTTGGTAGCCCTTAGATGACTGGTTTGCTTTTTACATGGAGATTGTCGGTTTACCACTAGGAGAAATTAATCTATACCTTTCACTTTGGAGTCTAAGATGGACCCTAGATGGTTGTTTTTCAAACTCTGGACAATTTTGATAATTTTGCATAACAATAACATGATCCTTTGGGGAAAAGCTGTGATGGACATTTTTAAGTGGTGTTTTGTTGATAAACCTGGAAAGTAACTGGGTTTATTAGTGGATTTTGGTCCCAAAAATAAATAAATAAATAAATAAGCAAAAGAAAAGATGTTTTGTCTAAAGCACAGAGGCTGGCTCAGATCAAACATGTTTTTTCATTTCTTCAATTTATTCTCTCTGTTTTCAAATACTATGTTTCTTTTGTTAAAGCTTTAGTAAACAGTTTGCTAAGTTTCTTTTATTTTATTTATTTGTATTTGTATTTTATTCTTTTACAGAGGTATATATTGAAAGAGTTGGAAAATTTTTATTTTATTTTATTCTTTTACAAAGGTATATATTGAAAGTGTTGGGTGAAAAATATGCATTACACACTACAATGGTTGGCCTTAGGGATTTAAGTAGGCAGAACCAGAAATCATTGGCTAGAAGTGACACAACAGCATAATTCTTCAGTCTTAGAATAGATTGGAGGAATCTGAAGTGTTTTTGAAGGTAAAGACAAGGGAACATAAAGTTGTCCAATAACCTGAGGTTAGTAATCCATTTGTTCATACTTCCATAATTCGTTTCTTGCCTGACCAGACGGTGGCTGGATTTATTGACTTTGAGAGGCAATATGGTTGGAGCCACCATGAATCAGTCACTCATATTCTAGTTGAATCTATTAGTCTATTAAAGGGGCACATTGAATGATTAGAGACGCCTTCATTGTGCCATTTTCATACAAGCTGTTGCTGCAATAATGCATGTATCACCTCCAATAATGCATCAACCACTTAGCATTAAAGGGTTTAAGCTGAGAGTAAGCATATCATTAAGGTGCTATCTATTGAATATGAGGTGATCTTACGACAGCTATGTCCTCAATTTGTCCACTACTGGTATCATAAATGATAGATGAAGAGGGCTCATGAGAGTAATCAATAGGCTGGTCCACCAAATGGGTTCTCCAAATTAAATGCCCTTCTTACTTGTTAGTAATTAACTTGTCATGTGCTTGGCATAGAAATCCCCCTGGTGGCGCAGACCTGGTAAAATCTCTGAATCTCATTATCAAAGATGCATGGTCATAGATATCCCTTCTCTTTCAAACAAGTATGTTTCTACATATATTAAGATCCACCTTCAATGGTTATTCATAATCCCTTTACAACTATAAGCAGCTAAAGCCAATATGAGTGCTCCATTTTTATTCATTTGTCTCTCTTTGGTCCTATCTTTTTCATTTTCATCTTCAACACTCTATAGGATGAGGAAAGGCTCATCTCTCTGCGTGGAGAAATCTGGCGATGTTTTGATTTCAGCAAACCGCGTATTCTCTGCGGGCTTTTATCCCGTAGGCAATAATGCTTATTGCTTCGGAATATGGTACAGTCGAGCATTATACGATGGGAGTCACACTCTGGTTTGGATGGCGAACCGTGACCAACCAGTTAATGGAAGACTCTCAAAGCTCTCCCTACTAAAAACTGGTAATCTTATCTTAGAAGATGCTGGTCATCTCACTCTTTGGGCCACTGACACCACCTCTGCTTCTTGGGTGCAATTGCAACTTTATAACACTGGTAACCTTGTTCTTCATACTTTGGAGGGTAAAATTCTTTGGCGAAGCTTTGATTCACCAACAGATACTCTCCTTCCTCAACAACTACTCACCAAAGATACCATACTTGTTTCATCAAAAAGCCAAAACAGTTATTCTTCTGGTTTCTACAAGCTCTATTTCGATGATGATAACATTCTTCATCTTAGCTTTGATGGTCTTGAAACATCCAGTGTTTATTGGCCAAAACCGTGGCTGCGACCATGGGAAACTGGAAGGTCTGCCTACAATAACTGTAGAACTGCAGTACTCGATTCCTATGGCCATTTCAATTCATCCGATGATATGCAGTTTTCATCTGTGGATTTGGGCGTGGGGTCTAAGAGAAGATTGACTATTGATGCTGATGGAAACGTTCGATTATACAGTATAGATGAGAGGAGGAGAGCTTGGATTGTGTCATGGCAAGCCATCTCTAACCCATGCATCGTTCATGGTGTTTGCGGAGCAAACAGTTTGTGCACTTATGCTGCTGAAACTGGTAGGAGATGCAAATGCCTACCGGGACATAAGATGAAAAACCATACAGATTGGTCTTATGGTTGTGAACCAGATTTCAATTTCTCTTGCAAAAATGATGATGCTGTTTTCATCAAATTTCCTCATGTTGAATTCTATGGCTATGATATTGGGTTCTTCCCAAATCAAACCTTAGAGTGGTGTGAGGAGAGGTGTTTGCAGGATTGCAATTGCAAAGGGATCCAATACAAATTCGATGACTTCCCAAATAGAGGTTACTATCTCTGTTACACCAAGGCTCAATTGATTAATGGCCAGCACTCACTGGGTTTTAAAAATCCTATGTATATAAAATTCCCCAGAGCTAATCTTTTCTCCAATGACAAGACCGTTCAAGAATTCCAGTTAGATTGCTCGCGCCAAGTTACAGCACAGCTAAACAGAACTTACAAGAAGAAGCAAGAAAATGTCACGGTAAAGTTCATGCTTTGGTTTGCCTGTGGATGTGGAGGAGTTGAGATAATTGGTTTCTTGTTTGTTCTCTATGTGTTGTATAAAAACAGTGAAGGCTCAAATGCAATTGAAAAAGGTTACCTTCACATCACAATAGGATTCAAAAGATTCACCTATGCTGAGCTTAAGAAGGCATCCCTTAATTTCAGTGTAGAAATCGGGAGAGGAGGTAGTGGTGTTGTATATAAGGGCATATTGTCCGACAATAGAGTTGCAGCAATCAAGCGTCTCAGCGAAGCTAACCAAGGAGAAGTGGAATTTCTAGCAGAAGTAAGCACAATTGGGAGGCTTAATCATATGAACTTGACAGAGACGTGGGGTTATTGTGCGGAAGGCAAACACAGGCTTTTGGTTTATGAGTACATGGAGCATGGATCTTTAGCAGAAAACCTAACTTCCAATAGTCTTGATTGGAAGAAGAGGTTTGAAATCGCGTTGGGTATTGCGAAGGGTCTAGCTTATTTACATGAAGAGTGCTTGGAGTGGGTTTTACACTGTGATGTAAAGCCTCAGAACATACTATTAGGCTCTAATTACCAACCAAAAGTTGCAGATTTTGGCCTGTCTAAACTCTTGAATAGAGGTGGCATTGATAATTCATACTTTTCTAGGATTAGAGGTACTAGAGGTTACATGGCTCCTGAATGGGTTTTTAATTTGCCAATCACCTCCAAAGTTGATGTTTATAGCTACGGGATCGTCATGTTGGAGATGATAACCGGAAGGAGCCCTGCCGGTGTCCACCCCATGGATGATAATGGGGTCATGGAGCAGAGAAGGTTGGCCACGTGGGTGAGGGAGAAGGTGCATGGAGCTACAGGAAATGCACCGTGGATTGAAGAAATTATAGACTGTAGCATGGATGGTGAATATGATAAGGATCAGATAGAGCTTCTGGTTAAAGTGGCTCTGCAATGTGCAGATCAGGAAGACAGAGATGCCAGACCCACCATGAGTAAGGTAGTGGAGGCACTTTTGGGTCATGAAAGTGATGACTTTTAAAAGTCAGTCCATGGATCATGCATATGGCAATGTATAGTTCAATTAAATAAATAAAAGGATGCTTTCAGTCATATCTCTGACTATTCAAAATTATTTTAGTCGTCTCTCTGACGCCATCAATGTACTGTCACATAAAATACAGTTGCTGAAATAATGCATATAAACTTGCTGAAATAATGCATATAAACTTGCTATAATAATGCATATATCATGAACTGCTTATCTGACTTTGTAAGTTAGCATTAGATGCTCCTGAAGAGAAATCAATGGAATGTAGGTCCCCCAAAATAATTGGTCTGCAGAGTACACATTACATGGACCTCTGCGAAGGTAAACTCTTCTTCCTCGATCACACATGCTCAATAAATAGAGGTCTGCTTTTGCCCACAAATATGGTTGTGTATAAATTCACCTTCAACAGTTTTCTAAGAATATATATAACTGTAAGTAGCTAAAGCCATTATGTGTGCTCCATTTTTATTCATTGTTATTTCTTTGGTCCTATCTTCACCATTTTCATCTTCAACACTTCTCAGAATAAGCAAAGGCTCATCACTCTATGTGGAGAAACCAAGCCACGTTTTAATTTCAGCGAACGGCATGTTCTCCTCTGGATTTTATCCAGTGGGCAATAACACATGTTGCTTCGCAATATGGTTTAGTCAATCGTTGGATGATGGGAGTCACACAGTGGTTTGGATGGCCAACCGAGACCGACCACTTAACGGAAAAAGGTCAAAGCTCTCCTTGCTAAAAACCGGTAATATTATCTTGACAGATGCTGATCGTCTCACTGTTTGGACCACCGACACTATGTCAGCTTCTTCGGTGCAATTAGAACTTTATGACACCGGTAATCTTGTTCTCCATACTTTGGAGGGTAAAATTCTTTGGGAAAGCTTTGATTCACCAACAGATACTCTTCTTCCTCAACAAATATTCACCAGAAACACAATACTTGTTTCATCAAGAAGCCAAAGCAATTATTCTTCTGGTTTCTACAAGCTCTATTTTGATGATGATAACGTTCTTCGTCTTCGCTTTGATGGTCATGAAACATCCAGCATTTATTGGCCTGTCTCGTGGCTGCGACCATGGGAATCTGGAAGGTCCACCTACAATAATAGTAGAACTGCAGTATTCGATTTGTCTGGCCATTTCAACTCAACTGATGATTTGTTCTTCTTGGCCGCAGATTTGGGCTCAGGGCCTCAAAGAAGATTGACGGTTGATACTGATGGCAATATTAGATTGTACAGTCTAGATGAAAAGTTGAGAGCTTGGGCTGTTTCATGGCAAGCCATATCCAACCCATGCAGCATTCATGGCATTTGTGGACCCTACAGTCTTTGCACTTACGCTGCTGAAAGTGGTAGGAGATGCAATTGCTTAGTAGGATACAAGATGAAAGATCACACAGATTGGTCTTATGGTTGTGAACAAGATTTCAATCTCTGCAACAATGATGCGGCTGTTTTCATTGAACTTCCTAATGCTGCTTTCTATGGCTATGATATTGGGTACTTCCCAAATCAAACCTTACAGTGGTGTGAAGAGAAGTGTTTGCAGGATTGCAATTGCAAAGGTTATCAATACTCATTTTACAAGTCAAATGGTTATGGTTACTATTGTTGTTACCCCAAGACTATGTTGCTCAATGGGTATCGCTCGAAGCAACTTGGAGAATCCATGTACATAAAATTGCCAAAATCTAATATCTCCTCCTATGATAAGCCCATTCAAGAATTCTGGTTAGATTGCTCGCACCAAGTTACAGCACCCCTCGACAGAACTTACAAGAATAAGCAAGAAAATGGCACGGTGAAGTTCATGCTTTGGTTCGCTTGTGGATGTGGAGGAGTTGAGATCATCGGTTTCTTGTTTGTTCAATATGTATTGTTTAGAAACCGTCAAGGCTCTGGTGCTGCTGAGAAAGGTTACCTTCAAATCGCAACCAGATTCAAAAGATTCACCTATGCTGAGCTTAAGAAGGCAGCACGTGATTTCAGTGTAGAAATCGGGAGAGGAGGTAGTGGTGTTGTATATAAAGGCATATTATCTGACAATAGAGTTGCAGCAATCAAGTGTCTCAGCGAAGCTAGCCAAGGAGAAGCAGAATTTCTAGCAGAAGTAAGCACAATTGGGAGGCTTAATCACATGAACTTGATAGAGACATGGGGTTATTGTGCGGAGGGAAAGCACAGACTTTTGGTGTATGAGTACATGGAGCAGGGATCTTTAGCAGAAAACCTAACTTCCAATAGTCTTGATTGGAAAAAGAGGTTTGAAATTGCCTTGGGTACTGCCAAGGGTCTAGCTTATTTACATGAAGAGTGCTTGGAGTGGGTTTTACACTGTGATGTAAAGCCTCAGAATATACTATTAGACTCTAATTACCACCCAAAACTTGCAGATTTTGGCCTGTCTAAACTCTTGAATAGATGTGGCATTGATAATTCAAGCTTCTCTGGGATAAGAGGTACTAGAGGTTACATGGCTCCTGAATGGGTTTTTAATATGCCCATCACTTCCAAAGTTGATGTTTATAGCTACGGGATTGTCATGTTGGAGATGATAACCGGAAGGAGCCCTTTCGGTGTCCACACCATGGATGATAATGGGGTAATGGAGCAGAGAAGGTTGGTCACACGGGTGAGGGAGAAGATGGATGGAGCTGCAGAAAATGCATCATGGATTGAAGAAATTGTAGACTGTAACATGGCTGGTGAATATGACAAGGGTAAGATGGAGCTTCTGGTTAGAGTGGCTCTGCAATGTGCAGAACAGGAAGACAGAGATGCGAGACCCACCGTGAGTAAAGTAGTGGAGGTACTTCTGGACCATGAATATGATGACTTTTAAAAGTCAGTCCTTGGATTGTATATATGGCAATTTATAATTTTGAGTATGTTAAGCTTTTAATATATTGGCTTCCAGAATCTTATCTTTTTTGTGGTAGCAACTTTTCTTACTACCGTATCTTCTTTGTATTCAGTTTGCTTGTCTTTTGCTTCACCTGTAATTTGTGCTTATGTGTTCTTAGATGATTTTGTTCTGCGCCAAAATATCTTACAGTTGCGAACCTGCAGTTCATTTTTCTCTTAGCTTTTTATTATTTTATGACCTTGCCATTCTCTTATTAAATGACAAAACCCCCATGACATTGTTTTACAGTGAAAATTGAGACATTAATACTTTCAGCCGCAGCCTTTTCTAGAATAAGATTTTTGCCCATTTTTGGTGATCTCAATGCTAGAGAAATGAAAAACGACAGTAAATTAGCCAGGAATATAAGTCCCTACTCTGTGTCCTGTGTGTGTATATTTTCAAAAAATACTAATAATTTTCTATTAGATTATCTGGTTAAAATTTAATTTTTTAATTAAATTATTATTTACAAGTAAAGAAAACCGAGACACTAAGAACTGAAGGACGATCAACACTCACAGCATCAATTAATCCTGGAGGCATGGATTGTTGGCCAGGATCATTGAGCTAAGAGTGAAGAGCCACCTGACTAACGAAATGAGTTGCTTTGTTTAGCACCTTGATATCTTCCATCATAGTCACCAAAGCTTCCTCTGTAACTAGGAGTTTCATAACAGATTACCAATCGCCCTGAACCTCAAAAAAAACCTCAATGCAGAACAATTACTAAACAAATATCATATTATATGAGGGAATTTTAGTAATATCATACCAACAGTTAGTCCTATTGAAGGAATGTCAGTGTAATTTTTTTTAAATCTTTGTAATATTACCAAACCTCCGGAGGAGTTGTATAATTTATCCATATAAAATGTCCAACACCTGCCTTACAACCAAGTTGGTTTGGTCCAAATTACACCACTAGGCTATGGATATAATTGAAGATGATAGTGATTCGATCAAACCATTCACATTGGCATTTGTTTGTCAGTCATGATAACACCTAGACAATGTTGAAAGAACACATGGTAGACAAGAAGTGGGACCAAACACTCATCATCATCTCTAGGTCATCCTAATCCAAAAAAAGCAGAGATACAGGAATTTCCACTATTTTCTTCTTATGTAATAAGTGAGATTAACTTAACAAATCAATTTCCTCAATAACACTTGACCATGGATATTTGATACATCACTAGTTGAATTTTACTTTACTGAAGTCATCTATGTGATTATTATCCTAATCTTTACCTTAATCCCATATGAATAGAGACGGACCTTTATGAATATAGACGGACAAATAAATTCTCATTTTCTACCCCTTCCTAGTTAGACTACGTCATGGCTTCAATCAGATTGAGACTAAGCTCACATCATCTCCGCAACTACGGACCCATATGAATAGAGACGGACAAAGAAATTCTCCTTTTCTACTCCTTCCTATTTGAACTCCGTCATGGCTTCAATAAGATCGAGACTCAGCTCACATTGTCTCCTCGACTTGTGATCTTGCATCCTCCTCTGTAATCCTTTTTTTCAAACATCCTTAATAAGTTTCTTGCCTGACCAGAAGGTGGCAGGACTTATTGACCTCGGGTGGCAAAATGATTGGACCGCCTTGAATCTGGCACTCATATTTCTAGTTGAATCTGTTGGTCTACTAAAGAGGCACATTAAATGGGTGGCAATATGATTGGAGCCGCCTTGAATCTGGCACTTATATTTCTAGTTGAATCTATTGGTCTACTAAAGAGGCACATTAAATGGTCAGAGATGCCTTCATTGAGCCTTCTCATCTACAATATATAATATTGCACATCTCATCTACAATAATGCATCTACTCCCTAGCAATTTTTTTTTTGATAAATAATAATCGATTAAGAAGCATTCAAAAGGGGAACGCATTCCATAAACAAGAGTAGAACCGGGATCTAACGACCCAAAGAATTCAAGAAATTAACTAAGTCATCAAAAGAGGAGCAAGAACTTGTCACACCCCGAATCCCACGATTCGGGTCGCGAAGAAAACGAAGGAAAATAAATATATAAATAAAATAAATAAATAGATTCACTTGAGAAAATAAATAATTAATCGGAGAAAAACTGATGTCATTCACCATATAAATAGCAACAACAACAACAACAACAGCAGCAGCAGCAGCAACAACAACAACAACAACAACAATAATAATAATAATGATGACAGTAATAATAAATTTTAAGGAAAATAATTTTTTTGAAGGTTGGCAAAACAGTGGGCGTGAAATTAAAATGACAAATTGGCACATATGGCCAACAAGCTAGGTGAGTTGGACGATCTGCCAGTATGTAAAACATTGCCAGCCCCAAAATCCATTCCTAAATATAAATAGAAAATAAACAAGGCATAAAATAATGCCCAGTAAAGTGCCTAATCCTTCCTGAACATACATGGGCATGGCAAATGATAATCATGATTATAGTATGAATATATATGTTATATATATATCAGGCCAAGCATATTCATGGGGACAAGTCAGTACATGACTTCAATTAAAGGACCTGTATTAAATTTAGATACATGGAAGCCACGATCACGATCCACTTGTGATTAAACTCATATCTAATAAATCATTTACATTAGTCTAATTAAGTGCACCCATATTTTCATACATCATACAGTGATTGTTTTAATTCCACCACAAGTCTAAAAATTTAATTTCAAGGTTATTAAATAGCAAGGGTACATATATAATCCAAGTAGGAAATATGGCCTCCATAGCCTCATTACAAACCATAAGGTGAGAAATAATGTTATGGGATTACATGAGTTGAGATAAGAGAGGAAATTCCATAAGAACTCCAAAAGATGGATAGGTGAGTTCCTAAGTCATTTTTCCCATCCAACAGAATATTACAAACATGTGTCATCAAATACATTATCCAAATACACCATGAGTCAAAATACAAGTCCAAAAGTAAGCTACACAATGGATGTCACAATTATCACAAGTAGCTCAAAAACATTGTTAAGATCCTAATCAAGCTAGGGATGAGGAACCTCCTCTTGGACAATGCCCTTTCCTGAAAAATATAAGAATCAACGGGGTGAGCAATGAATTACTCCGTAGGAATGTCTCATGAATATAAACTAGGTTTCTCAAAATTTTACAGACATCGCATGGCCATACAATACAAGGAACATGCTCCCTAACATCTAGTCTCAAGGGGAACCTAAATAGGATCATACTAGTCTAGCATAAATAATATTAATTCATTCATCAAGACAAACATAAATAATATAGTGTAATGTACATAAATTCACAAGTTGCAATAACACATAAATGTCAACTTGAAAATAAAAGTGGAAATCAATTAATGGGATAACTCGGAACACACCCACACTCCTGGTCACATAGGCATGCTATGTGCTTAAATAAAAATAGTCGTTTTCGGATTACTAGTCCGCCGGAAACTAACCGATTGGCCAATATGAAGTGGGAAAACTCATGTTTTACCCGCGAGCGCCAAGCCCTCGCATTCTCAAAGTAACAACCTCCAAGTATCTCCCAAAATCAACAAACAAGTCCACAAAATAATCTATATACCATGATATACCCAAATTGCACTTCACATGCGCACATAAATTATACTAATCACACAATCCATGTCCTATGGTCCAAATCACTATAATGGCATACTCTTTGATGCAATGTCAACAAATTTGGTATTTTAAAGTCATGTGATTTCATGTTATTATATCAAATTTCAAGTATGTAAAAGTTTAATGTCATTATAGAAATGTACATCTTCAAAGTTAACCCTTACAAGATAACAAATACATAAAAATTCATAAGCAACCACAACATATAAGACACTTTAATTACAAGTAATTGTACACACTAAAATCTAACACTTTAATAAACATCAATAATATCAAAAATGAAGCAAATAATATGTTATATATGAAAATTAACATAAGAACTCAATAAAACATTATGGACATGCAATTAATCATTATATAAGCTCTCTAATCCAATCCACACACACAAGTGTATGCATAACTCACACAATGGTCATAAAATTCCAAGAACTCCTAGGTTATAAGCACAATACACCCCTACCTCAAGCTAGGAGCAAACCCTAGCTACTCCAAAGGAAATATGTGCTCCAAATCTGAAATTGATTGAGCGGTTTTGTTCCTCTCGTAATCCCCGTCAACTTCCCTTCTATGGCAAGCTCAAAACCTCAAAGATTAGAGATGAAATGGTGGAGAAATGGTTGAAGTAAAATGAAAAAGAAAAGAATGGGAGAGAGAAGAGAGAGTGTCGGTGGAGTGGGAGAAATGAGAGGATTTGGTTTGTCTTCCACTCTCTCTCTCTATACAAACACACATATGCATATCACACACATTCTCATCCACACATATCTTATCAACTAGTCAACCTAGGCCACACAACATAACAAAATGCAATTAAAAATAAATATAAAAGGAAAAAAAGAAAGAGAAGAAGATAAACTTGGTCATCACAACGTCCCCAACTTAAAGGGATTTCGTCCCCGAAATCAGGTCATACCTCAAGTCGCGAACAAATCTGGGTACTTGGAGCGAACCTTCTCCTCCCGTTCCCAGGTAGCCTTATCAACTTCGTGATGCCTCCATAAAACCTTGACCAATGGAATGGTTTTGTTCCTCAACACTTGTTCCCTAGTGTCGAGAATCTGCACTGGCCCCTCCTCGTAAGTCGCATTCTCATTAATCGGCCCACCTCAAAATGTGTGACGGATCTGGCTTGTATTTCCTCAACATAGAAACATGAAAGACATTGTGAACCCTATCCAAATGTGGGGGTAGCGCCAAGCGATACGCAACCTCACCAAAGCAATCCAAGATCTCGAATAGCCCAATGAACTTAGGAGACAACTTGCCACTTCGCCCAAAATGCATCAATCCCTTGCGTGGAGCGATCTTAAGAAAAACATGGTCTCCCACCTCAAAGGACAATGGTCTCCTCCTCTTGTCAGCATAGCTTTTCTGCCCACTCTGAGTCGTGAACAACCGC